AGTAGTAGGTCACCGTTGATATTTACCCAACAACATTTAACTTCCAAACTCACCTGCAGTGCAGATATGACACGAGGAGTGAGGCGCCCAGGCGATGCCGTTGACGCAGGCGCGATGGTTGTTGAGCCGAGCCACGGGAGTACACGGCACGCGAACGTCCAGGATCACAACCTGGAGAACAGGAATATGAATTTAAAAGCTTTTTATTTACTGCAGCTTTTCATAAATACTGAACAATCTACTCACATAGGCAAACTTCTAGCAAGAAGCACCAGAAATGTAAACGAATGTGCAGTTTCTTGTATGACTATATAGGCTGAAACGATTACTAAATATTTGTCAACTAATTTAGTAATAGATTAGCTGGAGTACACAGGCCCTAAAAACCAGAGCTATTATTATGGCAAAACTGTCTAAAATATATACACATTTTGCATTTAGGATTAAAAAAACCCTTTGTAAATATGTTCTACCCAAAACTCCACAAGTAGAATCGTTTTAACTTCAAATTATGGAAAATACCTATCAAGTGTCGTTGGCTATCCAGTTAGTAATTGGTCAATCCAAAAATGAATCGATGGATAGATTAGACCTGCACTGTGTTGATGTTGAGTCAAGCAGGAAGGGCTGAACGTTTCATATGTTGATTGAAAAATTAATTATGTAACTAGAACTTTGTATTAAAATATTTGCACTAGAAACTAATAGGGTTGGGCTTTTATTGTGATAAGAATTTTCATTTATTGTTGTCACAATAAAGTGCAGTTAATGATGTTTAAAGGCCCCCAAAACCATCCTTATTGTCAGGATTGATAGTTTTACTAACTTCTCCACTATTTGTTCAATACATACCAATAAATTAGAAAATAAAAGTTAAAATGTGCAGTTTAGCAATACAAATCACACTTTTTTATGTTTTTCAAAAAGCATTAATTGTGTTTGTGGGGCTATAATTGCTGTGACACATAGTGGCAGCAATACAGTCACCTAAAAAACAAGTAATAGTTCTGTGGGTAAAATACTGTAATAGAACCTTAAGTCCATAGAAAAGCTATTTGCATGAGAAGACATTAATAATGCAACCTGACCTCCATGCCGTCCATGGCCATGGTGGCCAGGTAGTTGGGGTCCTGCTTGTTCCAGCAGAGGCGGAGCAGCGGGTGGTGCTGGGGGTCTTCGTAGATGATGGTGCTGTGCTCTAGATGTCGGAGGTCAAACATGCGGACGGATCCGTCGGCGCCCACCGAGGCGAACATGTCTCTGCCTCCGCCCGCGCGGCTGAACGCGATGTCGTAAACCTGAAAACACACCACAACGTTCCTCAACACTTACATTTAAATTTAAGCTCTGAATTTAAATCATGATTCTAATAAGTTTTAAATGATAACTTTTCGTTAAATGTTCGCTGTAATTTAGCCTGCCTTTAATGTATTAAATTTTGGAACAGAAAATGGCGTTTTTTTGACAATAATCAATTACTAAATTAGTTGACGATTCAATAATCGATTAATGACGAATAATCCAATTAGTCATTTCAGCCCTACATGAAAAAAAGGCCTCTTTTATATTATTGTGTTGAAACATGAACTAGACTTTGAAGCTTGGTGTCATTGGAAAGAGTCTGAATGAAATAGAATAAAAATAACCAAAAAATGAACCTGAAGCCTATTGATAAAAAACAACTTTAAAGATCAACAACAAAAAACTAAATTTGGGTCATATGGAGAAGAAATAAAATAAACAAAATAAAATCCAGACCTCTTTGTCGTGAGCGATCAGCTGAGTCTTCACGTGTCCGGAAACCAGGTTGACTCGTCCCAACACCTGACCGGTCTCCAAGCCCCAGATGGTGCAGGTGGTGTCGATGCTGGATGTTCCTGAAACACACAAAGAAATCATTTAAAGCCAATAAAAGATACGATGGAAACTAAAGGAGTTTTCTTCATTTTATTTCCTACCAAGCAGATTGGGATCAACTTCGTTCCAGTCAAAGGAGGTGAGCGGAGCGCAGAAGTCGGAGTTCTTGTTGTTGTTCAGCAGACATTCGAGGCGTGTTTCTGTGTCACTGACCTGCAACACGATCAAGACTGATTTAAATCAGGGGTGGCCAGACTTTGGCCACAACTGACTGGTATCAGACAGAAATTTCTCAAAATTTCTGACATTATTCTAAAAATTTCTCAGTTTTTCTTTATTTTTCAAACTCAGAAATTTCCAAGTTTTTTTTGTTGAAAATTTCAGAAATTAACCTAGAAATTTGTAATTTTTCCTCTCATACTTTTTGACTTTTCAAACTCAGAAATGTTAGTTTTTTTTCTCTAAAATGTATGAGATAAATCTCCATATTTAATTTTTTTGTAGCAATTTTCTTTTGACTTTTCAAACTCAGAAATTTCCAAGTTACTTTCTGGAAGATTTCAGAGGTTAATCTAAAAGTTTCTCACCTTTTTTCCAGCAAATTTGACTTTTGAATGTTAGAGATTGCCATGTTTTTTTTTCTAGAAAATTTCTGAACTTGACCTCAAATTTTAAAAAAATTTTCTAGCACATTTTGTGACTTTTCAAACTGAGAAGTGTCCTTGTTCTCAAAAATATGAGATAAACCTCAATATTTGGAATTATTTTCTAGAAAATTTTTAACTTTTCACACTCAGAAATTTCCAAGTTACTTTCTAGAAAATTTCTGAGATTAACCTCAAAATTTCTGATGTTTTCTATATGTTTTTAAATATATAATTTCCTTTTGTGAAATTAAAGTATATTTGAATTTGAGTATAAAATGGCACTAATACGCCATTGTAATTGAAAAATGCAGGTAGTAAAGTCTGTAAAGACAAACATTTCTCCAAATGTATTCATTGCTGGAAAATATCCACACTCCTCTGATTTGTATGGACTTTATAATGGCTCATCTTACCCTCCATATGCGCAGGTAGTCCCCACTGGTGGCCAGCAGGTCTGGATAAACTCCTTTGGTGTCTGGGATCCACATGATCTTGGTGGTGGGGTAAGGATGATCAAAGGTGTTCCTGCAGACAAACTCTGAGCTCTCTTCCTCCAAACCAACCAGCTGAACCTGAAATAAACACAGATAAGCTGGTAAAGACGGCAAAAGCCCTAAAGAACACGACAACTGGACAAAACGTCACCTATAAATGTGTTATTGAAGACAATAGCACAGTCATAAGTGATGTTTTGAGCCTCGGTGCGCAGGGAGGTTAGCACTAATCTGAAGCTAGCTGCTAATGAAAACACGCTGCGCACCTTGTTGTTGTATTCCTCCACAAAGCTCCCCAGAGCCAGCCGAAAGCGTTTGTCCGGGCGGACGCTCCAGTTCATGGCATACACCGTCCATGGCGCCTCGTATTTGTAGATTTCTTTTCTTTTCCCGTGAAGAGACATCCTCTCCCGAGCTGCGGCTCTTGTCTGGGCAGCTAACCTGCTAACTAACTGTCGGAGAAGTTAACCTTTGAGTAAAATACAACTAATTAGTTTCACTTAAGATAATAAATACAAGGATGTCGACTGAAAACGACTGATCGATGTAGATAACCTCAATGAAGACGTGATTTTTCACCACTTCTGCTAACAAAGGGTAGCATTTTTCGTTGGGGCCATCAAATCGTCAGGTTTTGAGGAAAGCGATCAACTTCCGGTGGTTATTTTCGAAATAAAATCACCAACAATGCTTTTAAAACGCTACGTTCCCGAAGTTTCCTCCATTTTACGGAAGAAAAACCCCGAATGAAGTATTAATGTACCCCCAAATTATATAAGTATGTCTTATTTGTTTTAAGTTGTCTTAGAACATGTTATTGTGTTGATAAAAAAAACGTCATTATCATGGCAGTTACGTTACTGTCTTATTGTTTTTTTCAAAAGTATTTACTTTTTTATTTATTCATTTCTTTTATTTATGTATTTTTATGAGTCTGGAAGGTTTGTACCGGAAGTATACGTTGTTTATTCCTACTTCACAAACAGTTGAAATTTCTCACTGCGACCACAAGAGGACGACTGTTTACTGTTCCTGGCAACATTACCTTATTTAGGAGTTTTATTTATAACTATATGCGGGTGTGGACAATGAGTGGAAGGATGATTTGTTTAAAATATTCCATCTTATAACTCTGTAAAATATTTTAATTACATCACAAATTATAGTTTGTACTGTAATCAATTCAGTTTTAAAATATGCATTGGAAATCTCTGGTTGCCACAGACGAGCTTTAAATGTTACTGTTTTGAAGTTAGAAGTATAACTGAAAAACTACATTGATTTAGAAAATGGTTTACATTGAAAGAAAATGTCTGTTTCTTCGTAATTTCCAATAATAATAAACATGGGGTAAATAATATAAACATTGTAATTTAATATCTGGATTTTCTAATTACTTTTTACTAAAAACAGACCGTGATTCATTTATGAAATTAGTTAGAGATTATTACCTTATATTGCACGTATCATTAGTGTAAATTTCGGTATGAATCCTAATGTATTCATTTTTTTAATTGATGCTGCTATTCCCCAAACAGCACTTTGAAATTGAGTCAAAATATGTTTTTGAACAATCATTGCTTTTTCATCAATGCTGTTTTGTTTAAAATACAACCAAACATAATATTAACAATTGGTTGTTACAAATACAGCTAAATAGTGAAAGATCCATTTTCTGTGCTGTCCTAAAAGTGTTTTGTTTCACAAAAGAAATATTATGATAATAATAACTATATATTTATTATTACATATAAAATATTTTGTAATGTGAAGTAATCCTTCAAGTCAAAGGTGAATACATGCACAAAATTTTAAGATTTTTACAACTCTGTGTTTTAGAGTGTTACTGATAAATACTAACATTTCCGTTTCTTTGATACTTAACATCAGTAAAAACAACTTCAAACTCAAAACTGGAAATAATATTTGTAGTTTTGGACCCCCGTATGTTAGCATCACTAGTCCATAACGGGTTAAAAAAAATTTATTTTGAAAGGGTTTTTCCTGCGTGGACAGGAAGTACCCCGCTTTAGGTTTAACATCACGTCAAGGACAGTTCCGATTTTTTATTCATAACCAGCTTTACCTTTATTGACACTGCTAGAAACCAGGTAAGATACTTGTTCACACATTTAGTCTTATCGGGGTTGTTTATCCCCCGCCGTGTTGAGGAGAAAATGGACAGATTCCCTCTCAGGTCTTCGGTTGTTGGACAGTTAGTTAGCCCCTGTTAGCATGCTAATGGTAAACGTGCTAACAGTGAGTGAGAATTAGTGAGTGTGAGTTGGGGGATGGGTTTGGTTGACTGCATCTTTGGGGTTTTAATCCACATGTCATTAGTAATTTTTAACTAGAACTCTGCTACAATTTCAAAAAGTTTGACAGCTAATCGCGTTAGCTTGTAATCAACCTTGTAAACACACTAAATGCAGCAGTACTTGTTCAGATTTAGCCACAAACTTACACCAACTGGAAGTTTGTCCGAATAAGTGAGCTCTTAAACGGTTAAATATCTACTTTTTTTTTATTCGCGTTAATTTAAAAGTTTAATTTATGAAAAAATTAGTGTGGTGACAAAACATAGTAGCCGTTTTCCTTCGTTATTGTCTACTGAGCTTCAGTTGTCAGGGATGTTTTCCACTTGGGGATTTGTTGTGTAGATGTTCGTCGATTAATCTAGAAAGTATTTGTAAAGCTTATTTCAGAAACAAAGCAATTCTCTACATTATGCTGACATAAAATAACAGAATAGCATTACATTAGATCGGTTTGATAAAGGAAAACAATAATAAGATTGAATCCTGCTTCTCCGTGTTTGGTTTTGATTCTTCAGAGAACTAGATCAGCCACTATGACCTAAAATAAGATAAAACTTATTTTAGTTAACTGTTGCATTCATTATTATTTGACTGGAGTTTCTTCAAATCTTTCATATTGTAAGAAAATCTTTATTTTCTGCAGCTTTATTCAGATTTTCTGTCAGATTTTCTTATGATATCTCAACCCTAAATGCTTCTTTTTCTCTCAAACATTTCTTCCTTTTTCATTTGGGTTTAATGTGAACTCACTGCGACTTAATATTTTGATATAAAACGGTTGCATTTGAGGAAAATAAACCCTAGAACATGATGTTGTAATGACTGGTACATTTCACCAGCAGCAGCAAGTTTTTGTAACTTCTTTCACTTCAAATTAAAGTAATGCAGGATTTCTCACACTGATTCGGACGATTTTTTTCTAAACTATACGCCTTTGTTTTGTTTTCAAAGCTAAAATAGTAGTTTTTCTATTCTCTGATGGGTAAAAGCTTTTGTTTTGGGATGGGTTTGTAATTTTCTGCAACATTTTGTGAAACTTTATTTTGTGTTTTTACCCATATTTAATTCAGACTGCAGCATGCGAAGTGCGTTTTTCTTCCTGGTTCCCACCCTGCTGCTCCTCCTGGCCCTTCCTGCCTCCAGAGGACGTTACAATGACGACTTTGACGAAGGCGAGGATCTGGCAGACTTTGACGACAATGACTTCGCAGAGTTTGAGGACATGAATGATGATTTAACAGCCGAGGCGGAGACGGCCCCGCCGCCACGCGTCTCATCACCTTCCTCACAGACTGAAGACGATGAAGATGAAGCCACCGTGGAGCTGGAGGATGGTCAGGACGGTTTCGAGGACTCCGACACGCAAGTATGTTACCTTAGCATTTATTTAAAGGGTATTTTTATGATTGATTGATTGGTACCATAATTGATATAATTGTAATTTCTTCCAAGGATCAAGATATGTACAGCAAATACGACCAGGAGGAGTTTGAGGGGATTGGAGACATGGAGAAGACGGGCCACTCCATGAAGGACCCGCTCATAATCCACACGGTAAAACAGGTTTAAAGCTTCTGGGAGTTAATTCAGCTGTATTTTATAATACCAAGACCTTACATTTTAGTAGAATTAGTCCTGGGATGTGATTTAGATACATTTCTGACAGTCAGATGTTGATCTGCATTTATCCGTCTGAATATTATGTCTGCAGGTTCCTGCACACCTGCAGAACAGCTGGGAGAGTTACTACATGGAGATCCTGATGGTGACGGGTTTACTGTGCTACATCATGAACTACATCATAGGGAAGAACAAGAACAGCCGACTCGCTCAGGCCTGGTTCAACTCCCACAGGGAACTTCTGGAGAGCAACTTTGCACTTGTGGGTGAGTCTGTCCGTCTTTTCTTTGAATCATTAAACCCCCCAGGATTTGTCGGTGCACAACGCCTTGCCAAAGCATTCATGTTGTTGGAATGGTTCCATATTTTGTCTTGTTTTAATTTCATGTAATAGAAAGGAGTGCATAGATCTGATATGCATGGAAAATTATACATGAGTTTTCCAAACTTACAAGGACTGCAACTGACAATTATTTTAGGTATCGATTAATCTATTGATTATTTTGACAATTAATTGAATGAAAATTGGCACATGCTTTTGATTTTTTTATTTATTTAATATATAAAAAATATATTGCTTTTTAAAAACTAATAAATATTCAATGAAATAAAACATTTACAAAATACATTCTTTCCTCCTTTATTTTTTATTTATTTCAAGATTTGTTTTAATTTTTAATTATTTATTCATTTCATAATGGTGTTTTGTTTTGTGGCACTTATTTTGTAAAGCTGCTTTACATATTTTATGGGCTTTTTTTATGCAAAATGTGTGCATATTTTGAACAGATTTGATTTAATTACTGCTGCGGATGTATTGTTCTTTTATCAAATTGTCTTTTTTTAGTTTGTATATTCAATGTAACGATTAATCAATTACTAAATTAGTTTATTTCAGTAATTGATTAATCACAATTTATCTGATTAATCATTTCAGCCCTAAAATCTATTGATGCTCATTTTTAAAATACTAATTTAACTTCATTTGTAAGAAATGTTCAGTTGACATTAGTTTGCATTGGCATGTTTTGTACAAACCTTTTCTTTATTGAAGAGTGGCAAGAAATCTTTTTTAAAAGAAAGTTAAAATAAATCTGTTTTGCTATATTTCATACTGGGAAAGTAGGTTCACTTTCCTCCAGGACAACAAATTAACCACCTCACTTCAGTGTGATCATTTAGACCAAATCATATTCATGTGGTAGAATGGCCCAGTCAAAGTCTAGGTCAAGTTTAATCCAATAGAATCTGTTGCAAAATTGGAAAATGTAATTTTCCTTCCACTTCATAGTTATGTGCTGTTTTTCTGTTGGTCAGTCACATAAAACGTGTCTCTCATTCGATAGATTTAGTGATTTCTTGGCATTGATCTGTACTCCAGGCGATGACGGCACCAGTAAAGAACCTGTGAGCACTGGGAAGCTGAATCAGGAAAACGAACACATCTATAATCTGTGGTGCTCTGGCCGTGTGTGCTGTGAAGGAATGCTGATTCAACTCAAGGTATTTGCTTACAGCCATTTAAATCCTCCCCTGTCGGTGTTTTCTGAACCTGCTGCTGGTTCTTTTTAGTTCCTGAAGAGGCAGGACCTCCTGAACACGGTGACCAGGATGATGAGGCCCGCCTCTGACCAAGTGGTAAGAGTTTCTGCTGCAGCAGATGTAGAAACGTTTTCTTCCTCTGCACAGAGCTTCAGCTGTGCTGTCTGGGTTTTTCTCTGCAGCAAGTCAAAGTGACGCTTAACGACGAAGACATGGACACTTTCGTCTTTGCTGTGGGCTCCAAGAAAGCCATGGCTCGGCTGCAGAAGGAGATGCAGGACCTGGTAAATAATTTTGTGATTGTTTTTGTGTTGCCTCATTTTTAATATTTAAATTAACTATATATATATATATATATATATATATATATATATATATATATATTTTTTTTTTTTTTAATAGAGCGAGTTCTGCAGCGACAAGCCGAAGTCGGGGGCGAAATATGGTCTTCCAGACTCCATGGCAATTCTCAGTGAGATGGGGGAAGTAACGGATGGTGTGATGGATAACAAGGTGATTCCCCTAATTACTACTAAGGACGCAAACAATCTATTTAGGATTAATTGTAGATTAAAATTAATTCCACTCGATTAACTAATAACGTCCGCTTAGAACTTCTTTTAGTTTTGTTGTTTAGCCTCCGTCCAACAGGGGGCGCCTCTGGTCATCCTTAAGAAGAGTTAAGTTGATACAGAAATAAATATGGCGGAGGCATGCCAGAATGGGAAAGAGGAACGGTCCCAACTACAGCAGCGTATTAGGAATGTTGTTACAACTTTTGAAGCTCACAGATTTTCCTAGTTTTTCGACCAAAACATTTGACATTAATCCCAAAATGTTTGAGTTGTGTGGCAGAAATTTACTCCATTTTTCTTTTCTTTTTTTTTCTATCTACAGAAAAATGGAAAAATTGTAAATGATGGGGGAAAAAACATGATGCCAATAAAAAAAGGTTGATTTTGATGTCTGTCACTAATGCACTTCCTGAAGCGAGTATTTAACATTCCTACAAGAGAAAGCACAGACAGTGCTAAAATATGAACATCTCTGTTCATGGAGAATTATTTACTTCATCTTTTCATCTTTTATTTTTCTATTCAGCGACCCAAGAGGCTCCTGTTTTGCTATATTTTATAAAGGCGTCTAATTATGTCAGAAAACCTGTTTATTTTCTGTTAAGTCAGAGCTGATACAAAATAACCTTAAAACTTTTTATAATTCAACATGTTATGAAAAATATGTTGTATAAATATGTTTGACCATCTGGATACAAGAGAAAACGCCTTTGGGTTTCCATATTGACCAAGTTTTGAAAGCTCTGGATAAACAGATATTTTCTTAAAATATCTGCTTATCAATTAATCATTAGTCAGTTTATTGGATCAACCAACTTCTGATTGACTCATTAATCGATAACTTGCATCCCTAAAGTATAAACTCAACTCTGTAACTCAGGTTCTGCTTCTGGGCTCTTCTCGTTTCAGATGGTACACTACATCACCAACCATGCTGACAAGATCGAGTCGATCCATTTCTCGGATCAGTTTTCTGGTCCAAAAATTATGCAAGAGTGAGTATTTGGTTATCGTTCGTTTCTGGAGCAGAACCTCGTTTTGCTGTTGTGATGCTGAAGGTTTTTGTTTTGCAGGGAGGGTCAGCCGTTAAAGCTGCCTGAGACCAAGAAGACTCTACTGTTTACATTTAATGGTGAGGAGTTTTTCTGCTGTGTCGTCACCTAAACACCATATTTTAAGGTTAATGTTTCATACCAGGTCCAATTTCCAATTTTAACCAATTTTTTTTTTTTTTTTTTGTTTTCATGTTGGACTCTATCAAATTACTACTTAATTCTTCTAATTTTACAACTTTATTCTGGTAATATTATGACTTTACTCTAGCATTTTGTGACTTTATTGTTTTCACTTTATTATTGTAAAAGAAAAACAATAAAAATCTTAGCCTGACGGTTACATTTTATCTGACCTCAAATTCAAATTTAATAGAAGCTGTAAAACAAAACAAGCTTGTCAAACAAGATGGCCGACTTGGGCGTGCTGACATCACTCGTAACTATGGAAACCCAGTGTGAGCATTAGTGAGGGGGGAAAAAAAATCCAGATTTTCCAAATTCCAAAAATTCAATGAATCACTGAAATCGATCTGTGCGCCCAGCCGTCCTACACGCTTAAAATTCTGCTGAGTTTTTCTGGATGTTTCGCTCTGCAGTGCCTGGCTTCGGCAGCACGTCTCCCAAAGACATGGACTCTCTGCTTCCGCTCATGAACATGGTGATCTACAGCATCGATAAGGTCAAGAAGCTCCGTCTGAACAGAGAGGTGAGTGAAACGCTTCAGTGACTTAGTCAACAACAAATGAAACCACTTGTGCAGGAGCCTCCACTTCTGCTTTTCAAAGTTGTACGGTTGTATAATTGCGCATCTTTTTGCAGCCATTTTTATGTGTGCATGTAAACATTGAGTGGGGGGCGTGGCCAGCAGCAGCTTATTTGGATTTAAAGTGACAGAGGCCCTAAAAGAAGCTCATTCTCAACTGATTATAACAAATTCTCATTATCCAAGAATGACTTTGTGCAAAAAATGTCAACTTGTTTGTACAGGTCATAGGCCTTTCTTAATCTGTTCTAGGAAACATAACTCACCTTTAAAAACACAAAACCTTCTCATTAATTATATATTTTAGGAGGTACGTTGTCTAAAATCCTCCTTGTGTGTTTAGGGAAAGCAGAAAGCGGACAGAAACCGAGCTCGGGTTGAGGAAAACTTCCTGAAACAGACCCACGCTCAGCGCCAGGAAGCAGCCCAGACCCGCAGAGAGGAGAAGAAAAGGGCCGAGAAGGAGAGGATCATGAACGAAGAGGATCCTGAGAGACAACGCCGCCTGGAGGTCTGACACCCGCCCCAACTTCTGCTTTAATTACGGACTTTAAGAAAACCACACGAATGTTCTGTTTCGGTTTTGGACTTCAGCTATTCTTTGGTCTCCTCCCATTTGTTCCTCCAGGAAGCAGCGCAGCGGCGTGAGCAGAAGAAGATTGAGAAGAAGCAGATGAAGATGAAGCAGATCAAAGTGAAAGCCATGTGAAAGAGAAAAAGCATTAAAGCACATGGAGAATCAGTGCTTTGCTCAGCTTTTCTTCCTGCTACTGCCATTCAACTCCCACAACTTCAGCCAGAAATCTTCCATCAAACTCTCCGATTGTGTCTGGCTTTGCTGTTGGTTTCACCTGCTGCTCCACTTGACAAGATTAAAACCTAAAAAACGGAGAAAAATCCGTCAAATGAGTCTCTGGGCATCAAGTTTGTTTGTTTTTTAAACATTTCTCAAATGTTTGTCTGAAAAAAAACCTAATGATTGTTTTTAAACAGTTGCTGGTGAGCAGGACACTACTAGACGATATTGAGCCACATTTTTAAAGGACTGAAAGCATTGCTGTTATTTCATTGGTAATATATTAGCATTATTGTAATCTTTAAACGATAATGTCGAGGAAATGTTTAATATATATTTGAAATAAGTTTCTGTCAGGCTGTTTCTAATTGTTATCTGAGCAAACAATAAATGCACTGAAATCTTTAAATATAAAAGTTTTCCTTTTGTCATATTGCAATTATTGTTTCCTTTATAAAAATATCAAAATGTATGAATTTATCAGTTTTTTAAATTATTTTTATTATTTTACATCAAATCCATCCGGATTTTTTTGCTACAAAAAAGCTTAGGTTCATGCTAAACAAGCAATTAGCATGTAGATGGTAGATTTTTATTACTTACATTTCTGAATATGGGTGTTAAGTAACTTTGCTTGTTTAAGATACTATAAACTGATCCACAACAAAGTAAACAATGAATTATAAAAATGGCTCAGTTGTATTTATTTTACATGAACTGTTAGGTGTACCAAATTTTAACATTTTATTTTTTATCTGTAGCTGAATAAATATACTCAAAGTAAAGTATTAATATTTCTAAATGAATTTATGCTACTGCAGTAAATGATTACTTAATTATATATACTTAGAAGGGAGCCATGAAATTTGTCATTGTTTATTACAAGATGGTAATCTAAATTCTCTTAAAATCTTAATTTTTAGCTCTGTTGTGAATAACTGAATTACTTTTAATAAAAAGTTGTGGTGGAGAATCTGATACTATCAAAATTTTAATACAAATTCTTCTTTTAAACATAATATTTAAAACTGGGGCAATAAATTCTAGCTAATGTGGGGTTATTTTTAATTTGTGATCATGTATTTTATCTTGGGTGTCATTGATTATTTGTTCCTCCAGTAAAAAGTGTCTATATCAATACTTATTTTTTAATAAATGAACAGAATTATTTCTCTTATGTTGCAAAGTTTGCCCTTACTGACTACACTCTTAATTTTGTTACGCCTTAATTTCCCCACTATGGGACAATACAGGTTAATTCTATTCTAACTCTAATTAGTCATGTAAAATTTGCTGTGTATGTAGCATAATTAATACTGCAATAAAACAACTCTTATGTTTTATAACAATAACAGTCCATTGTTATTTATTTTAAAAGTCGAGAAAAATGCCCTTTTTGATTTATTTTACTTTACTCATTCTTATTGAGTTGTTTCACCACTTCGCCGGTAGGGGGCGAATTTGTCACCGTTCAAACTGGAAATGATACAAGCAGATTCAAGTATAACTTTACACTACAAATATTCAACTGATTATGGAGTAAGTTATCTTTTAAAATCTTTGTTATTTTATTGAATTCAAAGTGATGTTTTAACTTTCAATAATCTGTTTATTTGTTGTTTGTTTTGTGTCTGTGTAGAGGAAAGTGTGGGTGAGCAACTGAAGACTGCATTAACATGCATTGATGGGGAGCAGGCGAGGCGTTCAGGTTGGTTACGCGATGGCCGCTCTCTCAACAATATCTGGATTTTGAAATAGAAAACAATGGCTTTGGCGCTCGTAGATGGTCGTTGGTCTATCGACTAATTTCCGGAATGGTAGCGGTATTGTTTTAGTTCGTTAGATGTGCTTTAACGCCGGGTCGTAGGTGTCATATATCTGTTTGTGACCCAGTGTTTTTCTTCTTGGTCTCGCGGGCCTGGCTGCAGCTGCCTACACTGTAGCGGCGGCGAATTGCTACTTTCGGATGAGCGGGTCTCCAAGAGGTGGGGTGGCTGAATTTTGGTTAAAACGTGGGAAAGGCAGTCTTAAGAAGTTTCGATAAGATATGCATGTCACGATTGCAACTTATAAAATCTAATACGTGTATGTGGAGGTCTTCAAGTTCAAAGTTTAAACTGTTAACTTGATGTTGCTAAGTTAGCATTAGCCATCAGTAGCATCAGTTTGCCCTAGCTAAAGCGAGAAGACAAGTAATTTTTACTTTGGTTTACGTTGTCGGACTATCGGCAACGTGCAGATTCGGTTTTTAAGGAACGCTTCTGAAACGCGGACAGATGCGCTGAACATTAATTCTGCTTTGACGCTTGCTGAAACAATTATTTGCATTTTGTGGATCCACTTTAGCCTCTGCTAACAGCAAGCTGCTAGCTAAAGTATCTGATCAGTGACGTAGCGCTGATCATTGTTTTGACAGCAGCTTAACCGAAGCCAACAACAAGCTGACGATAATGCTAAACATTTTATATACTTTAAATGTGATCTCGGAGTATATTAATGCGACTCGGAAGTCAGTGAAGTTGATCTCTGGTTAAATGCTGTGACGCAGCTTATCGTTCCTTTGCAGGCAAGAGTTATTTATCTCTAATCACTGCATCTTTTCAAATCAGTCTTGGTTCAATTCGCATCTGTTAAGGTTGTTATGGTGCATTTAGGTTTCTTGGACCGACCTGAAAAATTTGAAACTACAAATTGATTTTCTGTTTTTCCAGGACGACATTCCTTACCCTAATTTCTAAAAAACATTAACAGTCTAAATTAATATGTAACTAATCAGTTGCAGCTTTGCCTGGCGTTTTAACATGCAATGTTTTCTTTTTTTGCTCTAAATACGAACAATTAGCCCCATGCTGCCCTCAGGCAGCTAAAGCCTGTGAGAAAAAAGCCTCAAACTACAGAATTTGATTTTAATTGGTTCAAAGTCTGGATAAATTTAGAAAAAATAGAAAATGGAGACGTATTTGTTTTTCCAGGCTGTTTTTTTCTATCCAATTTTACAGTTTTAATATTTAGGAGTAAGTTATCTCAGTCCATATAAGGTTTTTCTTCACACACTTTATTTACAAGGTGAACACAGTTTCAATAATGTGATATTTTTCTAAACTACTATATCAAGACTTTAGTTTAATATATGTGTTTATTAATGTGTTTATTAAAGTGGAGAGGAAATGAAAAAGTCTTGAAACTATGACTTAAAAATCATTTACTTGCTAAATTCTTAGAATCCGAGTCACTTAGATGGTTTTTTTTTGTTTGTTTGTTTGTTTGTTTGTTTGTTAGTTTTTTCCAGCAGATCCTCTTTTAAATGAATGTTTTTCTTCTTGTCCTCAGTTATAGGATGGATCCAGACAGTGGGACCGAAGCACAGAAAGCAGTCAGCTTGCAGTGGAAAAGCTACAAACTCGTCCAGGACCCGGCCATTCGGCGGGTTACGCAGAAGGTCTATAGATATGACGGAGTGCACTTCAGTGTTCCAGTAAGTCTAACTGGAGTTTATTCACTTTAAAATGTGGATCAGTTCTAAGGTTTACTTCTTATTTGCTGTGTTATTTTTGTTTAGGACTCTGGGTTTCCCCCTGTGGGCGAACTCCGGGACCCTAGACCCCGGAGATTATGGTCGAGGTATACAGAAATATCCCTACCAGTGCCAAAGTTCAAGGTGGGCTCCACTTCTCAGACTTTGTTTTATTGATCCGTTAGACATTCATCTGAAAAACCAAAATATAACTACTGTAATTTTGAGCTGGAGCAGTTCATTTAAATGTAATTTTACTTTGATATATGATATTTTGTTTTAAAGGGTGAGGAAGAATTAAGAAATTCAATTAATTGGGAAGTAAATGCATAGATGAACAATTATGGTTGTTGCTTAGCAACAGCAGTGCCAGGATGTTGGCCAATTATATAAAAGCGAGAATGTAACTTCTCTTTTCCCCAGAGAAGTTTCCAAATTCAAGACAAGTTAAACGGTTGTGTTGTGAACATAATTACTGCAGCATCGGAAACTTCTTAGGCCTTTCAGAAATAATAGGATGTGGTTCCTAAGTCTGTCACAATGAGCAATAAATTATTTTATAGCATGATAAATTAAAAGCAGTGCAATAATTTTTATTTGGAAAAGAGATGCTCTTCTTTAATTTAGTTGAAACGCTGCAAACATTTGATACCCAGTATGAAGTAAGTAGTTTGTACTACCTGCCACTTTTGCCTGTTTTCCTGGTCTAAACTGAATAATTACATATTTTTTTAAATACAATTTGGTTTCTGAAACTCTAAAATCCATTTTAATTGGTGGGTTTTTCTTTTTTCAAATATTTTAGATGTTAAGTGTTCTTTAGAAATCAAAGTTTTTATATTTTGAGTGATCATTTAATAAGGCAGATTATCTTAAAATAACAATACTAACATTATTGCAATCATTATTGGCTTATTGGTACCTAACTTCATTTTAAGAACATCTTTCATTATTTTGCTGTCAGTGCTGTTGCATGAATGTCATGTTGTAGTTATTTGCTGATTGGCCGTGAACTCAGGATGACTTTATTATCCTGGATGTAAATGACCACTTGTAAACCACAGCGGTTGTGTGAAATCTGTCACGCTCAAAGGTCATTTGGCCAAAAATGTTTTCACTCATTATCTTTCCAAACCAGATGTCTTCCTGCACTTCAGCTGTTCCGTGTTTATGATTTCCACAGATCAGTCACTCCGCTTTCCTGGAATAGCAGAGCTTTTTTTGGTTTGTTTGTTCCTAACCTTTTTTTTTTCTTTGCCACAGCTCGATGAGTTCTACGTGGGTCCCATTCCCCTCAAAGAGGTGACCTTCGCCAGGCTCAATGACAACATCAAGGAACCTTTCCTGGCAGAAATGTGCTCCAAGTTTGGCGAAGTGGAGGAGATGGAGATCCTGTTTCATCCCAAGACCAGGAAGCACTTGGGTCTGGCCAGGGTGTTGTTCACCAACACGAGGGGAGCGAAGGACACAGTCAAGCATTTGCACAACACCTCTGTCATGGGAAACATCATTCATGCTCAGCTCGATATAAAAGGTAAAGCTTATTGTGGCTGCTATTGTAGCGATGTAGACCCATTACATCCCGCCTCCATCTCCCTGCTTGAGGGCAAAACGTTGCTCGCTAATGATGACTACCATTGATTTTAGCTGTTAAAATGTCAATATAACATGAAATCTTTAACGTAGGCCTGATATATTAAAGTAAAAGGGACGCAGTGCTTTACTACCAATTGTCAACACAATGACAACTAGATTATAAGGTCAAGAAAAAGTTTTAATAAAGAAACAGCGAGGGAGAGGGAAGTAGCTCAGCTGTGCTAGCTTTACTATGACAACCGTAATATGTAGATGGGCTGTGGAATTCGGTGTGTTTCTGTTCAGTTAAAAAATAAAAAACAGGTGAGCTAAACACCAACTCTCC